CTAAAAGAAAAAATATATATATATATATATATATTTAATATTTATTTTAATTTATAACATCTGATTTAATATTATTTTTATATTTCCATTATTTTTTATATAGTTTATTTTTTTTTTAAATTTAAAAATTTATTAATCTCTCTATTTAATTATTATTATATATTTTAACTTTAATTTAAGTATATTTTATTTAAATTAGAAATATCTTATAGTAATATTTTACTATTTTTATAACATAATATATCACCTATAGGATAATTAATGTATTAGTATTATTATTAATTTTAACTTAACCTTATATATATTTTAATATTAAATACCTTTTTTATTTAAATTAAAATATAATAATTTTATTTTTATAAAAATAACTCTAATTTTTTATTTAAATAAAAAATGATTCATTGTCTTTTTTAATGAGTAGATAAGGAAAAACAAGATTAACAAAATGGTATTCTCAATCTTTTACAAATAAATAAAAATCTAAATATTTAAAAGAAGTTTAAAAAAAAAAAATAATTTAAATAAATGTATTTATTCATTATTTAATAGATTAATGCTATTGTATTAACAAGAAGTAGTCGTTTTTGCAATTTTTTAGAATGGAATGATTATAAAATAGTATATAAAAGGTAAATATATATAAATATATATATATATATATATATATATATATATATATTTAAACCTTTTTTATCAAATCAAATTTTTAAAGATACGCCAGTCTTTTTTTTATTACTATTGTTGATAAAGAAGAAAATGAATTATCAATTTTAGAAATTATTCACCATTATGTAGAATGTTTAGATAAATATTTCGGTAACGTTTGCGAATTAGATTTAATATTTAATTTTCATAAAGTATTAATTAACACCTTATTTATAATAAAAATTAATTTTTATTTATTGAAAATAAATTTAAAAAAGGCTTATTTTATTTTAGATGAAATGTTAATTTCAGGACATATTATGGAACCTAGTAAAAAACTTATTTTAAAAACAATATAAAGTTAAGAAGTTTATAAAGAAGATAATATAGTAAAATCATCACAAAACCAAAAAAAATGAAAAAAAAAAATTAATAAAGAAATTTATATTATTATTATTATTTGTATATTTTATATTATTATATAAAAGATAAACAAAAACAAAAAAATTTTAAAAAAATGTTTTTATTAATATAATTATAAAATTATTATAGATAATAAATAACTATTTTTAATTTTAAATATATATATATTTCTTCTATCTTTAAATTTTTCAATATTTTCTTTATCTCTATTTATAATCATCATCGTCTCTTCTATTATTAAATCTTTCATATTTGTTTGTGTTGTCTAATATAGAAAAAATAAAAAATTATTTAAAAAAATAAAAATAATTATAATACATTTTAAAAAGAAGAATTTCTATTATAATCTCTTTTCCACTATCTCTATCTCTATCCTATCTTTATCTATTATTATTAGCTAAATTGACTTTTATTTCTCTTCCATCGATTTCCATTCCATCTTTTTTCAATGCTTTTTACATAGAAGGTTTATCTGCGAATTTTATATGTCCGTATCCTTTGCTCTATAAATAAAATAAACAAAAAATTAAAAATAAATGGATACTTTTCCATTTTAAGAAGCCACTCTACAGTTAACAATATCTCCACAAGATGCAAAGAATCCTTTTATATCATCAGAATCGGTTTTAAAAGAAAGATTTCCAACAAAAATAGTATTAGTTTCTTCTTCACTATCTTCGTCTTTTTATTAAAACTTTCTTTCATATCTTTCATTTTTATCTTTAGGTTTTTCTATAACTAAAGTTCTTCCCATAAATTCTATATTATTTCCCTAAAGAGCTTTCAAAGAGCTTTCCTCAGTCGAAAAACCAACAAAGGCGAGTCCTTTAGAATTTCCGTAGTGATCTTTAAGCAAATTAATTCTGTTTATTCTTCCAAAGTTTTTTTCTAAAAAAGTTAATATAGCATCTTCTTTTGCTTAAAAGTTAATTCCTTTAACTACTACCTCGTTTTTATTTTAGAAGTTTTCATCACGATTTGAGTTAGAGGAATATTAAGGAGATTATTTATTTTTTTAATAACCGCTTTGATTTCTTCTTTAGTCTTTAGAAAGTTTTTTATCCACACTGCTTGAACTGGAATATGATCTTTCCTATTTTTTTTATTTTTTTTAATAAAATATATTTATTTAGTTATTATTATTATTATTTTTACTCTGCGATTCTTTGAATAGCGTTGTTCAGTAAATATAGAGCTTTTTTCAGTGTTCTTTGTATGTATAATAAAATGAAATCGGTTTTTTTTTTATTGAACACAAAATATATTATTATTCTTTACTTTATTATTGAACATTTATTTAACTTTTTTTTTTGTATTTGTATTTTTTTTTTATATATATTTGTTTTTAATTATATTATATATTTAATTAATTTTTTTATATTTTCTATATATAGTGGATTTAATTTTAAATTACGCTTTTTTAAATAGATACAAATAATAAAAAATATAAAGAAAATTTTATTAATTATAATATTTTTTTATTATATAATTCTAAAAAATAGTATATTTGTTTTATATAATCATAATATATATTTATACACTATAAAATTATAAATATAGTTTTTTATTTATTCTAAATTTATTATTATTTTATTAGATTGATTCTTTAATTATTCAACTTATTTAAATATTTAATTTTTTTTTTTTTGAAATAAAATTGTTTTAAAATAATAATTTAAATAATTTTTGCAAATCATAAATAATTCACATGAATTAGAATTTGTTTTTAATTTTTTTTTAAAAAATAAAAAAATTCAAAATTAAATTACAATTTTTTTTACATTATTATTTGATAATATTTTAGAATTTTAAATATATATATCTATATCTATTAGTATTTAAATTTTTCATTTAAAAATACTTTTAAAGAAAAATAAATAATAATATATATAAACTAAAAAAAAGTAAAAATATTTAAATTATTATATTATTTTTATTTAATATTTAAAAAATTAAATATTATTATTCATTTATTTTAAGAAAAGTTTTATTTGTATTTTTTTCTAATATTTTTTTTTTTTAAAAAAAAAAAAACACTTTTTAGATTTTTTCTTCTTAAAAAATAAAACAGTAAATTTATTATTATTTATATATTTTAAGTAAAAAAATAAAATAATAATATTATTCTTTCCATATTTATATTAAAATATATTAATATAATAATTGTATAAGAATATATAAATTAATGAACATAAATCCTAATATAATAAATGTAAAAAAAAATCATATATTTATTTTCAAAAATATTAATTTAAAATAATCTTTATGAAGAATAATTTCAATAGTATGTAATAATAAGATCCTTAAGCAATATCTAAATTAATGTTATAAAAATCTTCATTATTAAAACAAGGTTTTTTTAATTGAAAAAAAAAATACAAAACTCATATATGAGAATAATTTTTATTTTAAATAATAATTTAGAATATGATCAATAAAATTAATAAAATCAATAAAATTAATAAAATTTAAATATTTCTTATATAAACGAAAGCTTGAAAGAATCATAATATACATTAACAAATTAAAAATAAGGTTTTTAAAATAATACTAAATTACATTTATAAAAAAAATCTTATTAATTTAAATAAAAGAAAAACAAATAGTTAAGCCAAGTGAGTTAAATGTGAAAACTTTAATTGTAAATGACAAAATATCTTTAAGTAGTGAACAGTTTAAAATATGTTGTAAAATTTAATACGGGAAGAAATAATTTATACTCGAAATACTAGAAATAAAATTATAAAACACACAAGAAAAAGATACAAATTAATAAAATTAAATAAAAGATAATTAAAATTTAAAGAAAAAAATTGAAATACCTTTCAAAAATATGAATAAAATATTTATAAATTAAGTACAATCAAGTTTGATTATAGGTATAAAATATTAAAATATATATATCTTTTTTAGACAATTTTTAAATAATAAATATTTTTTTTAATTAAACATAAAAAACATAAAAAATCTTCTAGAAACATTATAAGATAAAATAAAATAGTATTAAGAATAAAAAAGGTTATAAAATGATTAAAAAAAAGTTACTTCTTAATGGGTAGAACATGATTTTTTAAGTATCTTTTTTTTTTTAAAAAAAAAAAAGATATAAAATAAATATTATAAAAAAAAGCTATAAATCCAAATAATGAACCAATTTTTATAAATGGAATAAATGCCAAAGTTTAAATAATTTTTTCAAAAGAAGTTTCTAATAAATAAGCAAAAGACTAAAATTCATTAATCTAAAAAATAAAACAAAATATAGAAATAGTAAATAAAAGAAAGAAAAAAAAATATATATATAACTTATATAAATAAATTTTTAGCCATATCTATATATTGATAATGAGCGTTATATAAAAAATGAAATAAAACAAGAAGAATATCATTTAAATTAATCTTAAATATCATAGCAAATCAGTTCAATACCTGGGTAAGCTTAATATCCAAATCCATCTTAATAACAATATCCTCAACAATATTAAAGTTAGAGTCCATACCAACCTAATCAATAATAAATATCTTAATCGTAAAAACAAATACTTAAGAATTTTCAAAGCGAATAAATAAATTCAAACTATCCTAACTAAATGTAATAGAGCCAAATTTCATAAGGAGTATAAAGTGCAAACTAAATGTAATAAATTCCGAATAATTAAATGTAAAATATGATGTAAAATAGCTAATTAACTACTAGCAGTAATCCATAATAAAACGTAATAAGCAATCAAATATAAAATTAAAATAATAACTAAGTAGGGATGATGTAATAAAAACATATAAATCCAAGCATAAACCAATATGTAAATAAAAAAAATCCTATTATAAATTCTTAATAAATAAATTAATATCCTGGAGTGTCAGTACCAAATAATAAAAATCCATAAATGCAATATAATTAAAGATAAATGGGAAATAATCAAATTCATAAAATAGGAATTAATTAGATTTAAGGAGGAAATGAATAAATAGCGATAGATAGTAATTAAATGTAGATGCCAAATAATAATATTCCAATTATGAATATTGAAATGTCAAAAGAAAAAATTATATTGTAAAGATAATAATAATATCTATAATCATAATAATAAATTTAATAAAAATAATAACCTTAAAATTAACATTAATAATAATAACTTTAAAATATTTAATAAATATAATAAATATAATAGTAATAATAATAATAACAATAATAATAATAACAATATTAATATTAATAACAATAACAATAACAATAACAATAACAATAACAATAACAATAGCAATAACAATAACAATAACAATAACAATAACAATAACAATAACAATAACAATAATAATAACAATAACAATAACAATAACAATAACAATAACAATAACAATAACAATAACAATAACAATAACAATAACAATAACAATAACAATAACAATAACAATAACAATAACAATAACAATAACAATAACAATAACAATAACATATATACAATAACAATAACATAACAATAACAATAACAATAACAATAACAATAACAATAACAATAACAATAACAATAACAATAACAATAACAATAACAATAACAATAACAATAACAATAACAATAACAATAACAATAACAATAACAATAACAATAACAATAACAATAACAATAACAATAACAATAACAATAACAATAACAATAACAATAACAATAACAATAACAATAACAATAACAATAATACAATAATGCTCAAGAGAATTAAAATAGTATTCATTTAGGTAGATAAAGCATTAGCTAAATTCAACCAATCCAATAAAATAATTAAATACCATATTAAAAGAATGAATAATATTTGAACTAAATTCCATAAACAAATTAATTATATAATAGATTTGAAAATACAGAATTTCCGGGATAAATAAAAAGATAATTAAGTAATTAATAAAAATAATTCGAAGGTCCTCAGCTACCTTAAAAATTTACTTAAAGTTAAATTTTATAATAATAGTAATAATAATAATAATAATAATAATAATAATAATAATAATAATAATAATAATAATAATAATAATAATCTTAACAACAAATGAATATATAAAAATAATAATAAAACTAACAGCAAATCTAATAGATATAACAATAATAATAATATTTATAACAAAAAATTTAATAATAGTAATTATAATAATAACAATTTAATAATTAAAATATCTAAAATAATAATTTAAACTAATAAAATTAATTTTAATCTAAATTAGTTTAAAGCTATAAATAATAGTAATAAGAACTTTAAGCCTAAATTATCATGGAACATTAAAGTAAAATAAAATTTAAAGCATTTAATTATATAAATAATAGAATTTTTCGATGTTGATGATATTAACATTGAAAATGAAGAAAAATTTCCAATTCTTAATTAATAATAATTAAAGAAAATATGTAAATTTATTCCTGAAAAATGTAAATACATTTTATTTATTTTTGTATAATTTTTAAATAAATATAAAAAGTAAAAGGATAAAATTTAGAAATAAAAAAAATTAAATTTTGGATAAAATTAAATAATTACATAATTAATAAGTTTAGTTTGTTGACGAAGGAGAAGAAATGTAATTTAAAAAAAATAAAAAAATATAATTTTACTTTTTAAGTGGTAAAAATAATAAAAAAATAAAATGCCCGGTATATGAATGCTAAAAAGAGTTAAAAAAAGAAAATATAAATAAACATATAAAAGAATCACATCCTATTCTTGTATTATATACTTTTTATTAAACATAAAATTAATAAATTTATTTAATTCTTTTTATATTAAGTCAAATATAGAATTTTAATTAGATGATTCAAATAAATTTACATTTGATGAGAAAATATATGATTACATAATTCTTATTTTTGAAATATATCCAAATGAATATTAATAGTTTATATAAAAAGTAACAAATTTAAAAAAAAAAAAAAACAATATTATCTATTTTATATAATAAATAAAAAATATAAATAATTTTTTTTTGTATTTAATTACTATATATAAAAGTCAAGAGAATCAATCGAAAATAAAAAAACATAAAAATGTACAAAAAAATTGTAAAAAAAATTAGATGAAATAAGTTGATTTTTTTAAGAAAAAAAAAAAAAAAAATTTAAAACATTTATATATTTTTTTAAAATTAAATAAGAATTTGATTGTAAAAAAAAAAACAAATATTTTTTATATTAAAAAAAAAAAAATTCTTAATTTATTTTATAAAAAATAAATAAAAAAAAAACTATAATAACTATGGGAAATATATGTGATCCTTATTGTTCTTGTTCATGTGAAGATTAAAAAGTATTTAGAGATTGCAGATAATGCTTTTAAGAATGTTTTAATTGTGATGGATGTTAATAATTTACATCTTGTGATTATAGATTAATGAACCCATGTTTAATAAGAGAAGTTTCAAATAAGGATCTAATGTAAATTTTAAAAGAATTCGATTATTAAGGTGAAATAGATGATTAATGGTATGGTAAGATTAATTATAAAATAATAAAAATAAATTTGAAAAATATAAAAAAAGGTGAAATATAATTACTTGAGCACAAAATTTAAAAGGAATTAATTTGTTTAAAAATAATAGAAACAAGTAACGAATAAGAATTTGAATAAATATAATAATCTTTTGTAAGAAGACTTAAATTAAATAACGAAAATATCGTAAGATTACGATGTATAAAATAATATAAATAAAAACAATATTGAATATTTTATTTTCAAAAAAAAAAAAAAAAAAATTAAGATATTATTAGTAAAAGCGTTGATACATTTTGTTCTGTATTATTTAAAGTAAAAATAAAATAATTATAAATATATATATATATATATATATGTTTAAATTTGAAAGTCCTACCTGTTTTTCGATTTCATTATAACAGATTTAGAAAAAGAAATAAAGCACCGTTAAAAAAAAGACATATATTTTACTGAAGAAGAAATATGGAATTTAGTATATGGAATTATAAATGGAATGCGATATTTTTCTTCAATTTCCCTTCCACATAGTTGCTTACGAACCAAACACATATATGTTTCCTAGACAGGCCAGTATAAAGTAGCTGATCCTGGTCTTTTTAATTACGAGACATCGTATGATATAGTATTTAATAATAGGGAAGCTAAAAATAAAGGAATTTTATTGAGTCCTGCTTTAATATATGGATTGGAAAGAAATATAGAAAATCCAATTCACGATTAAGTCAAGAGTGATGTTTTTTGTGCCGGAATGATAATACTGGAAGCTGCGTCTTTAAAAAACTCAAGCAAATGTCTTGACTTTTATAATTATTAAATAATGGAGGATCTAATAGAAAATAGATTAAATAATGTAAAAGAAAAATACCATGATTCTCTTTATTATTTGGTAAAAGAAATGATAAATATAAACGAACTTTAGAGACCTGATTTTTAGACTCTTTTTGAAAAAAATACTAGAAATTTAAGATTTAAATAGCATATAGTAAATAATTTATAAGCGCATTTTGCAGCGGCTTCAAATGATAATTTAAGTGATTCCGTTTCTGTTTTAAATTAAAGCTTTATTAGTAATAAAGGAGGAAAAAAATAAAACATTAATAATAACTTTAATAATAATTTTAATAATAATATTGTGGTAAGTAAGCCTTTTGATAATAATGTTTCTATTATAGATAATACAAATAATATTTTACCTAATTTTGGTGTTAGTAATTAATAAAATTTTGATAATAATAATAATTTTGGTATAGGACTTGGTTTAGGCCAATATTCAATGCCTGTTCCTCTTATGTCTATGAATAATAATTTTTTATCTGGATTAGATTATGTTGGAAGTACTATGAATAATACTAGTAATTAATAAAATAAAATAAAAAAAATATAAATATATATATTTATTTTATTAGAAATTCCAAGAGAAAAAGTAATTGAAACTTATAATAATGGATCTAAATATGAAGGAGAAGTTAAAAACGGACTCAGAGATGGAAAAGGAAAATATTATTATAACAATGGAGGTTATTATGAAGGTTAATGGAAAGATGGATAAATGAATGGTATAAAAAATAAATTAACTATTTAATTTATTTTTTATAAATATTATAAATATATTTATAGGATAAGGTACTTTATATTTCCCTGATGGATAAACAGCCTATGATGGCTAATGGAGAAATGATAAGTTTTAAGGATACGGAGTCCTTTATAATAATACTATTATTAACTCAAATTAATATTTTGATTGTAAAAACTTTAATAATTTAGGAGATTTCTGGACTAAATATGAAGGTGATTTTAAATAAGATTAAAAAGATGGGTTTGGTACTTTATATTTGTCTAATGGCGAAAAATATGTTGGAGGATTCAAAAGTAATAAAATTTAGGGTTAAGGTACTTTTTATACAATGAATGGATAGGTTATAAAAGGCAGTTGGACTAATAATATTAAAGTCATATGAGAAATATATTTATTTATGTATTAATTATATAAAATAATAAATTATTATTTATAGTATATTTTATTGATTTTTATTTATTATATAAATGTTTTTATTTTATAAATTAATTTTTTTTTTTATATTTAATAATAATAATATATTATATTTTATTTTTAATTATATCTTCTAAATAAATAATGTTTATATTATTTATTTTAAGTTAAGTTTATGAACAAAAATTTTTAGAACAAATATATAATATTATTAAATTAAAGTATAAATATTATTTTTTACATTTTTATTCTTACGATATTTTGGTTTCTTTAATAAAACAAAATATATGTAAAACCAAAAAAATAGATTGAATATGTATCATTTTAATCAATATTTAAAAAAAAAAAAATATATAAAATAAATACAACAAAAAACGAATTATAAAATGTAATATATATTTTTATTTTTTATTTATAAACACTGTGTTAAAAATAAAAATTTAAAATGATAAAAATTTTTAAATACAAAAAAAGAATACTAAAAAAAAATAATATATAATATAATATATTTTTAAATATAGACCTTATAATAAAAATAAATTTTTCTTTAAAAAGATTTTTTTTTTTTTTTTTTCATTTGAAACTATTATTTCAATCTCTTATATTATAATTGATCTTTTTTTTACGAGTTTTAATTGCTGAATATTTGGTTAACTCTTTATATATATATATATATAAAAATCATTAATACATTTAAAAAAATAAATTGCTTTACTATGGATATCGTCTTATAATTTTTTATCATTTTATTCAAATTTTTACAATATTTCTTAAATTTTATATTCATATTATTCAAGCAATTTATCAAATTAAGTATAACTAAAAGTTTAACTAAAAGTTTATATTTCTTTATTTATTTTCTAATACAAAAGTTCATCTATATAATTTTTAAATATAAAAGATTTAAATTTTATTATATATTTTAATTACAATTTTATGATTATATAGATCCTTAATAAACTCTTTTTGATAAAATAGTAGCAAATTTTTGTTTGAAAAAATCTTATTGGTTTTCTTGATTATTATTTAATTAATAAGAAGGTAAATCAGCTTAAAAAATATAATTAACATTAATTTTATTTTTTAAATAAAGTTATTAAATATTTTTTTAAGCAATTTATGATTTAGGAGCACTTTCTTATTATTTTTTCTTTTAAATTTATGAGCAATTTTTACATATAAAATTATCAGATTAATTACTCTTTTTATTTAAAATACAAAAAAATATATATTTTTAACTTTTTTTTATTTTTTACATTTTGAGATGATAACTTTTGATTACATTGCTTGCATTTTTATATTTAACGCGTTGTCTAATTTTTATATTTATTTTAAAATTTAAATTCTTTAGAACTATAATAATCAACTGATCTAAATCTTCTCTAAAAATATTGAAATTAATTTAATATAATATATATATATATATATATATATATATATATATATATTAAATAATATATACCTTTTATTAAAATACTGTATAATCAATAACTTAACCTCTTTTTGAATTCCTTATTTAATAGTTATGTTAAGCTTTTTTTTAACTTTTATTTTTTTATTCTTAATTAATTTATTAATCTGATTATTAAGCTTCATTATTTTTTAAATTTTGATCATTAATTTCGTTTAAGGATTATGAAATTGGTTAATTCTAAGAAGGAATAGTATTTTAATTATTTTAAATAACTATAAAATTTTAAATATATTTAAATATATATTTATATTATATTATATTTACCTTGTAATTTTTCTTCATTTTCTTGATTATTTACCTAGATGTTATTTTAAGATTTGCTTTTATCTATTTCAATTATAGAATTTTTATCAACATCATTTTCTGGATTAGTTTATTATATATTCACATCTTCTAACTATTTTTATTCATTATCTTCTTATACTAATATAAAAATATATTAAATAAATATAAAAAGATAATTAAATATTTATTTTAAATACATCTTGATTTTGTATCTTAATTAAATATTAATTTATAAGGTTCATTTAGAGAAGAGCTACTACTATCAACTTATAAAATAATTTTTTAATTATTATTTTTATTTTAATTTTAGATTTCTTTTTAGTTATCATTTTAATTTTCCAATTAAATTTAACTAATTTAATTTTAAGATTCTTTTAATAGATTTTAAATTTAAAATTTCTTTTAAAAATCTATTTTTAAATAATATATAAAATAATATTTTATAAAAGAAAAAAAAATATATATATATAAAAATATATATATGATTAAATAGATAAATATATAATAATTATTATAAAAAAAATTATTTTAAATAAAAAATAATAAATATAAATAAATTATATATAAATATATAAATATATAAATATATATATATAATATTATATAATTATATATATATATAATTATTTTATATATTTTTAATTATTTATATAAATATTATATATAATTTTTAATTATATATTTACTTTTTTTTTCTTTATCCTATTTTTTTTTTTACTTTTTTTTTATAAATTTTTAATTATTAATAATATAATTATTTTTTTCGTTTTGGACACATTATTTAATTTATTTGTTATATTAATTATTTACTTTTTAAATTTAAATATCTTTTTCTTTTTCCTATTCTATTTATATTATTGATTATTATTCTTCTTATTCTTAGCTTTAGTCAATAATAATTTAAATCGGTTGTTTATTTTCTTCATCTGAATCTAAAATTTCTATAATTTCTTACTTTTTTTTATGATTTTTTCTCTTGTTAAGGTCATTCTCATATTAATTTAAAATATTATATTAATACGAGTTTTTTTAGATGTTTAATAATTTTTAATTAATATTTTAAGTTTTATATTCTTAAAGTAAATTTTAAATAGTTTAATCTAAAAGATATTCTTAATTTTTTAAAAATGAATTTTATTATACTTTATTATCATTTTTAAAATAATATAATTATTTATTATTATTATTATTATTACTATTACTATTATTATTATTATTAAAATTGTCCGAATTTTTATTTAAAAAATCATTATTATTACTGCATTGATTATTTGTTTAAAATAAATTTATTTAATTCAAATTATTATTAAATAAAATATTGTTACTAATATTATTATTTATAATAAATTATTAATTTTTATTCTCATTAAATGTATTTTTTTAAATATATTTTAATATAATAATTTTAATTTTATTAAATAGGTTCTATATTTTATTCATTTCTATTTAATTAATTTTTTAATTAAATATTATTCATAAAAACATTATTTGGTGAGTTATTACTATAATTATTTAATAAATTTTCGATAATATTTTTCTTTTCATTTTCATCTTATAAAAAGTTTGGTTATAATAGCATGTTAATATTATTTTTTTATTAAAATTTTTACTAACCAATTTCACTATTTCTAATTTTATTTGTCAAAAGCTCCTAGCTATTATTTTAAAAATAAGAGTTTTGCATCTATAGCTGCACGTTTATTGGATTATTGCCCATTATTTAGCCGGCATTTTAATTTATTACTCCTCTATTTTAAAAAGAATTGCCATTTAGATTATTGTTTGAAAGATTATTGGTATCTTATAGTTAAAAAGTATTTAACGGGTTCTAAGATTGAATTTTAAGATTTTTCTAGAATTAAGGAATAGATAATTAATTAATTATTTAAGGGTTTCTCTCTGGGAGCAATAGATTGCTTTATGTTTGATTTTAGTTAAAAATAGAATTGTTGAGATAATTTTTATTAAACATGAATACAGAGGCTATAAATTTAAGATATGATGAATATATTATTTTTTGTTATTATTAATTAGATGATTTTTTGTATTATTTAAATATTTTTTTATATTTTCTTTTGTTTTTCTTTTTTCTTTTTATCTTTTTGTATTTTTTGTTTTTTTTTGTTTTTTTTTTTTTTTTTTGTATAATTAGTTTTTTTTTATTTTTTTTAATATTTTTTATATTATTATTTTTTTATTTTTTACTTTTTACTTTTTTTTTTTTTTCTTCTTATTTTTTTTTATCTTTTACCTTTAGTAAAATTATAATTAATAATCAAATAAAATAATAAGGAATTAGAATTAATTTATTAAAAAGTTTAGAAAATTATACGTTTTTTTACTAATGAAATAATATTGTATTTATAGAGTATATGATTTATTAATACGTATAAATATATAATATTATTAAAAATAGAATAAAATAGACAAAGATTTAAAAAACAAATAATTATATAGTAATATAAAATAAATTGTTTTAATAAAAAGAAAAAATAAGTTAATACTCGAAAAACAAATTAAATATAAAATTAATTTTATATTAATAAAAATATAAAATTATTAATTAATAAAAAAGTTATAAAATATAAAAATTAATTAATATTTAAAATTACTTAATAAATATATAAAATATAATTTATATTTTATAATATTATATAATAATTGTTTTTTATGTTAAAATATATAATACTAAAATAATTTATTTTTAAATAAGTAATATAAATGATACTTACTTATAAAATATCATTATTTTTTTAATTAAAAAAAAAATTATTATATATTTTAGTTTAATTATTTTTTAAAAAATTTTATCTTATTTACCTTTCATTTTATTTTATTTTATTTTTTTTTTTTTAAAAAAAAAAAACACATAAATTGAATAAATTTATAATTATAATAAATATATAATCAAAAAAATATATTTAAATATAATATATTATATTATAAAATATTATATATATTATAATTTTTACTATAATTAAAATATATTATATATTATTGTTAATATTTTTACGAAATAATAATTTTTTTTTTTAATTTTTTATAATTATAAATATAAAATTATATATATATATATATGTATATATATATACAAATAATTTTTTAATTTTTTTTTTTTATATATTAAAATAGTATTAAATATTCATTATACAAATTTCTACAAAAATAAAAATTTAATCAGTATTAAAAAAAAGTTAATAATAAATAAAATATATATTTTTATTTTTATAAAAAAATAAAATATATATATCTATATAAAAATCACATTGAATTCTAAAGTTTTTCTAATAAGCCAGTACCTCCAATTAAAAAAGCCGTATTATAAAAATCTCCTAATTTAGATTTTGAAGCAACTAATTATTCTTATAAATAATCCATTTATTTTTATAATTCTTTCATTTTTTAACTTTCTTATTTATATTATTTAATATCTTTATTTAATTAATCTCTTTCCTAACTAATTTTTTCTAATTCAATCTATTAATAAATATATATTTATATTATTTATATATACATATATCTATTTTTTAATAAAACAAAAAAGTTACTTATTTTATATTAAATTCTTATTTAAGTTATTCGAATTCTTCATTTGGAAAAGATTTTTCTTATAAATTGAAATTTTAATTTTATAAAATTTGAATTTATTCCATTAATTCTGAATATTTTTCGTCATTTTAATAATTAGGTTCTGAAGTTTCTTCCAATTAATGTTCTTTTAATTTAAGTTTATTTTCTAAATATTCCTTCTCAGCTTTTAAGACTTCTAATTCGTCATTATTTAGTTCCATTTTATGTTTAAAATCTTATAATTAATATTATAAATCAGAAATTAATTGTTACAAATTTTATATTTCCTCGTTTTTTTAACTAACTTAACTATTCGATCTAACATCATCTTTTTATTAATTTTATAAGGCTTCTATTTTTGAAGCCTAAAGTGAAGAACTTTCAGTTATTTTACTCTTTTAATCTTATAAAAGTTTATTTTTTTAAATTAACTCGGCTATTTTAGACATTTAAGAGTCTATTTATTCCTATAATTGTATATTTTATTCCTCTATATGGCTTATTTCATTTATTTTTTATTAAAAACTTTGATTTTCGGATTTTAAAGACTTTATCTATTCTTATAGTTGATTATTTTGATCTTCATAATTTTAAATTTTTTGATTGAAAACTTATGTCTATTATTCAGCAGTTTATAATTATTATTAAAGCTGTTTTAAATTCTAATTTAATTAATTTATTTCTAACTTATTTTATATTTCCATATTTAGGATTTTTTCTTAAAGTTTCTTTATTATTTTTAATTTTAATTTTTTTATTTATTTACTTTTGTTAATTCTTCATATTATTAATTTTCTTGTTTTTTTTAATTATCTTCATTCTTTGTTTAAATATTTTCAGGCTTTTTTTATTAAATTTAAGAACTTATAGGTAATTAGGATTAACTTGTATTTGATAAATCAATTTGCTTTATAAAATGTAATTTTATATTTATTTAAATTTATGCTTTTTAATCAGGACATTTTTCTAGTTTTAGAGTTTCATTGAATACTATATAAATTTATTTTTTTATATTAAAATAGAAATATATAAATAATTACTTTATTATTTTTAATCAGCTATTTTTGCTATATCTAAATTAGCCATTCCTGCTACTTTATTTCCTTTTTCTGTAATTATTATTACTGTAAACGAAGTCTTATTTTTTATAATTAAAAATAAATATAAATATATAAAATATATATAAATATATATATATATATATATATATATATATATTTTAATTTATAATTAACTTTTTTTTCTTCAAAATTTTATGTTTCTTCATTAAAATATAGATTAGTCTCTAATTTTAAAATTTCATCAAATATAGCTTCTCCATTTTTTAATGGAACAAGTTTTTATGTTTCTACTTTTTGACTTCCTTTATTATTTTTTTTTATTTTATTTATTATCATATTTAATTATAACCTCTTTTCCAAACTACTTATAATTGGCTTGGAAAACTTATTGCTATATTTATTTTTTATATTCTGCATTCAAAATAAAATAAAAAAGCTTTAATATTTTACATATTTTAATATTTCTTTATTTTTTAAAAAATAAAATATATTTATATAAATAAATAAAAAAACAATTAAATTATTATTAATATTTTTTTTTTAAAAAAAAATAAATAAATAATATAATAAAACTTATTATAATTTTCATATTTGTTTAAAAAAAAAAAAAAAGCAAAATAAAAAAAATGGAAATAATAGATGTACGAGAAAAGGATTATGTTTTAATAAATGACATAAAAGTGGTAAAATAAAATAATAAAAAAAGTCCAAAAAATCACATTTTAAAAAAATAACAAGATCAAACGTAAAATGTTCAGCAAAGGAGGTGGCCCAAATCAACCAAACCAAAAGCTTGAAAATGGCATATCAATTTAATTAGAAAACTCATTCGGTTGTTACCAAACCCCAATTCGTAAAAACTCTTACTTTTGCACAGATGACAACCTGATATATAATTGTGGTAATCATCTAGTTTTATACGATGTAGTTCGTAAAAAATAAAAATATGTAATGAAAAACATAGAAGACTAACCTCTTACAGCGATGACTTTTTTCACAAACCCAACTAAAGGAACCACCAATATAGCCGTTGCCTTAAAATCTAAATCAGATACCCTCCCTTAAGTTAAAGTATATAGTTCTTAAAAGCCTTCGAATTTTTCATTAGTACACAATATTCCAAATTCGATAATTTTAGATATCCAGTTTATTTTAAAAGCGCGATATATAATCACCCTAACCCACATGCCTAAAGGATTTCAATTAAACATATACAATGTATAGGAAGAAAGACACTGTTGCATAAGATAGGTGGAAGACTAAGAAGCTTCTAAAATCGAAGTAAATACAAAACTAGGTTCCGATTTCATTATAATAGGAAAAAAATACTGCCAAGTTTGTTCTTTCGAATACTAAGGAATGTTAATAAATGAAAAAGCCAATTTATATGAAAGTCTAAATAAATAATTCAATTTACTTTTCGAAGAAGAAATTTGTGAAGCCGTCTGGATTTCCGAGTATATTATTATTGCTACTTTCTAAAATAAGCTCCATATTTTCAAAAACCTCATATACTAGAAAACACTCGATCTAGTTTTATTCGAAAAAGAAGCCATTATTCCAATCAGAAATTCCAAGTAATCCCAATAAGAACAAGATTAAATTATCTAATAAGTCCTAGAATAATAAAAAAATGACACTAAGCATATTTCAGTTTCCTGTATGTCCAAATTCCAACGCGGACTAGCAATAGGTTTCCAAGGTGCTTAAATGATTTCCCTTTACGAGTTTGACAATTAAAACGAGCTCGTACATAAAGGTAATTACTACCTAAAAGAAGAAAATATATAGAAAATCCACTCCATAGATATCGCTCCTGATGAAATGTACGCTGTTATATGCATTCTTTTTTATCCCAGAGGCTCTCATTAAACGGCTAAAATAAAAAGCGATGGTGTATATGCGATATCTCCTGAAGAAAAAAAGGAACAACAGGGAAAATTAGAAATTTATATGTTTAATTTAGCAGTAGTAGATGCCATAAAAAGTGTCTAAAAAGACCCTTTTGAGCCTCTTTTTGAATAAGGAGTACATAAAGGATCTATCCTAGATTTATCTTTGTGTCCCACAAGATCTATTTTAGTATCCGTGTGTGAAGATAAGACTACCAAATTTATGGATTTCGGTTCTGAATTTCGAGAATTAATTTCATAGTTTTTCCATGAAACTCCTAATTGTATTTCTATTCATCCTTTAAATATTTAATGCGCTATAGGCTTTAAGGAAGGAATTAAAGTCTTTAATATTCTAGATGATGAATTAAAACCGTCTTTTACGAATAATACGAAAACTTGTACGGCAATCAGTTATAGTGAAGGAGGGCATTTATTGGCCGCTGGAAATTTACAGATAATAAACATTTATAATCCTTATGAATATATTTTACTTTATACATTAAATGGTCATGCTGTAGCTTTAAAAAGCATAGAATGGATCAATAATGATTAGAATATTATTTCTATATGTTAAGGAGGACTACTTAACGTATGGGATTTGAAAACAGGAACAAGGTTTATTGAACATTCTTATAGACAGCATAAATTATTGGCTGTAGCATATGATTTTGATTTTGATTTAGTTGTTTGTGCATGTTCAGATAATAAATTGAGAATTTTTAAAGAAAAAGGCTAAATTTAAGTTTGTGAACATGAAACAAGTCCGTGTTAATTTACTAGTATACATATTAGTAAAGTATAATATTTTTTTATTAATATAAATAAGATATATATATATTTATTATATATTATTATATATATTTATTTATATATATATACATATTTATATTTACATTAGAGATTTGATACCATTATATTTGGAACAAGTGAGGGTTCTATTAGGATTTATTTATGGCCTTTTTGGACTTTTAAGGCTAAAAGTATGGACTATTTAGAAATTCCAATTCACTAGTGTACTATTACCTCAATAAAAATTTCCTAAGACTATTAATATTTAATTACTTGTTCAGAAGATAGTTCTATATTTTTTAGTAAAATTCGAGAATTCGTAGAAGGGGAAGATGTAACAGTAACTGACTTTTTTAATTAGCAAAAAGAAAACAATTATGAAGCTTTAGAAAAAGTTACTCTTGCCTATTCACTTAATAATTTATGTCTTTGCTCTAAAATAGCCCAGGAATAAAAAAAAGAGTCCATAAAGGAACTCGAATTTCGTTTGCAAAATTATAAAAGCGACATTGATGACGAGAAAGAAAAATGGGGTGAAATATACGCCTAAAGGATAAAAACCTTAAAGGAAAAGCATAATGATTAAAAATAAAAACAAAAAGAAAACCTTTTGAAAATATAACAAGAATATGATTAGAAATTTGAAGAGTTAAGGGAAAAAAAAGCTAATTAAAAATAAGAAATGGAAGAAATAGAAGAAAAGCTAAACGAAATGAATTCAAAAGATTTAATTTAATGTTATTAAAGAAGAGATGAACTTACTGAAAAACTTTAAAATTTAAAATCCAAATTTTCAAACTAAATCGAACATGCGCAATAATAATATAATTATACACTTAAAAAAGTATAGGATGAATACGATATTAAATTTAGTGATATTTTTAATAAATATAAAAACGCATTAGAAAATGTAACAAATGATTAACATAAATTTCATGAAGTACTTTCTTAATAAGAATAAGACTTTGATACTTATTTTACTAAGACCAAATAAAATCTAAAAGAAGAACTAGAAGAAGAACTCAGAAAAACAGAAGAATTAAGATCTTCTAATTCTAAATATAATAAGGTTAAAAACATAAAAATAATATATATATAAAATATAAATATAGGAAATATAAAATTATAAAGAAAGAAAATAATATTTGCAGTAAGAATCTGAATAATTAAGTTTAGAAATAAAAAACTTAGAACTTGATTAAAAAAACTTCGAAGATAAATAGAACTAAATGGTGAATTAATTAAACGAAAAAGAAGATATAATCAATATGCGTGAATAATAAATAAAAGACCTCCGAAGTAAGAACATCCATTTATAAAATTTCCAAAAAGTCTACGATTATTAAGTCAATACTTTAAAAGATGAAAGATAGCCTTTAAAAGAGCATTTATTAAATATGGAAAAACACGTTAAAAATCTCTACAATGAACTATTGGAAGAATCAGGCGCAAATAAAAATATTGATAAAGATATAGAAAAAACTGAAAATAAAACAAAAGAAATGAAAATATAATTAAGGGAAAAATAAAAAGACGTAATGTTAACTAGAAGATTAATCGAAAATTTCTAATTTTAAATTTTAGATATGTTAAAGAATTTACAATTTAAAGAATGGCCAAAAAGACTAGCAGAAATTTATACTGAAAACTTTTCAGAAAAATCATATAAAATAGAAAAAGTCTTAGAATAATCCACAATAGGCGCTAACTTAAAAGAATTGAAAAAAGATGCTTATTTAGAATAAATAGAATAAGAATAATAATTCCTTATTGGATAAGATTTAAAAGGCCAAAGAGATTTTTTAGCAAGATAATTAGTAAAAGTAGCCGGTGATTATAGAAAAGTAATGGAGTCAAGAAATGATGCCTATTTAAGGGTTTAAAATATGAATACACTATTAATAAATGAATGTAATGAAAAAAGAGAAAAAAAATCGAAATTAAAGGAATATTTAAGTCTATAAAAAAAAGCCTATAGAGAAGTTAGAAGAGAATTAGCAGTTTTTATGGGACAAAGTTTAAAAGAAATTTTAGATGATGATGATGAAAATATTAATTTCATTCAACAAGAAGATGAAAGTGAAGAGGCTTTGGACGAAATAGATGAAAAAAATAATTAAAATTAAAAAAACAATGAAAGTGGAAATTTATTAGTTGATAATTATAATAAAACGCAAAACTCAGCAAGTCTTTTGAAAACTTGTAATACTAAGAAATAAAAGGAACTACCTTTTGTAAGATATTAATAGAAGTAAAAATTAATAAAAACAATATAATATATAATTATATATATATATATATATATATATTTATATATATTTTTTATAAATAGAAAATCTTTATCTTAAGCCTTATTAAAAAATAATAAATTCTAAGTATAAAAAGCGCCAACTATTACAGAAAAAAAAATTAACCAAAGATAATTAATATAAGATTTATTAAAATAAATAGAACTTATTAATGACAATTAAGATTTATAAGGAGATTAATTAAAAGAAAGAGTGTAAAATTTCCTATATGTTGAAAAAAAAGATACTGTAGGCCCCCTCATATAAAAAGAATAATAAAATTAAGCTTTAAAATTAGCTTCAAGCACTTAAGGACCGTTTTTTTAAACTAATAGAATAAGTATATAAATTTTTAATTAATAATTTTTTTATTTTTTTAGAAATGTAATCTTCGTAAGGAAAAATACCAAATTCACCTGGAGTAGGTAGTAAAACTAGTACTGCTCCACATAACTTTATGTAAACTTTTACAAGTAATTTAGGTTTTGGGTAAACTGGTTAGGATTTTAATAGAAAATCAGCTTTATCTCAATAATAATTTAATAAATGATTTTTTTATATTAATATTTTTTTTAATTTTTGTATTTTTAGTTATTATTTTGTTATTTTTTAAATATTGAATTTTTTAAAATTATAGATATTTTAAATAAAAAAAAGTATATATTATAATATATTAAAAATAATATTCAATTTTAATATAAGAAAAGCTATAAAATAATTTTTTTAATTATCCATTATAATAAAAAAAATTATTCATAATATTAAGTTTTTATATTTAAAATAAATAAAGAACGAATTGTATTTTTTTATACATACATATATAATATATTAATAATAATTATAAAAATTTACTTGTTTATTCATTTTTATTAATTTATTTTAATATATTGATTAAATTATTATTTGATCATCAATATATATTTATTAATAAAAATCCTAAACTTTCATTTAAACGCTAAAAGCAGAAGACATCCAAAAAAAAAAAAAAAATAAGCTTTTTTTATGAAATATGAAAGTAAAAAAAATATAATTAATAAATATATATTTTAAATTCTTTTTGAATAAAAATAATAAACTAAATATTTGATAAAGGTTAAAAGGTTAAAAGAAAAAAAAAAACTTATATCCAAAATAAATGAATTAAATGTTTATTAAATTAAAATGAATAAATATATTGTATTGTATTGTTAATAAATACTAATAATTAAAAAAAAATGAAATTAAGAGGACTATTAAAAAAAATATTTATAAGAAAGTTGAATATTATTAAAATTAATTATATTGAATATTTAATATTTTATATATATAAATCTTTTATAAAAATAATATTTATAAAATAAATAAATAAATATAATTATTAAAAAAAATATATATAATACAAATTTAAATTAAATGCCTTTAATACTATATAAATTTTAATAAAAAAAATATATTTATTTTGAATAATTTGCTAAAATTATACGACTAAAAAATAAAGCTAAAATATAATTATAAATTTTGTAATATTTTTGAACAATAAATTAAAACTTTGTATATATATTTTTATTTAACTTTTTTGTTATTATTAAATTAAACCAAATTCTAATTATTATAACTATTTTTTAAATGTTTTCTTATTTCTAAAGTTAAATATTTTACTAATTAACATTATTTTATTTCTTATTTTTTAAAAATAATAATAAAAGGAATAGAATATAAAAATTTATAAATTAAATGAATTATTTAAAATTATTATTATTATTATTATTATTATTATTATTATTATTATTATTAAATTATTTATAAAAAAATAAATTTTTATATTTGTAAAAATAAATAATATTTACTACTTAGATTAAAAAAAAACACTCTAATAATAAATAAATAATTTTAAATTACAATTTTATTTTTTTTGAAAGAAAAAAATAATAATTACAAAAACAATATCAAAAAAAAATAAACTGTAATTTAAATAATAAAATTTATAACTTAAAAATACGAAATTATTTAGAGCACTTTTTTTTTAAAAAAAAAAGAAAAAAAAAAAAAACAAAACTAATAAAATAAAAAATATTAATCAATCATTTTTAATTTTCTTTACAACATTATCCAAATCTTCAATATTCTATTTATACCCTTAAATTTAGTTATTATTTAAATATTCTTAATTATCATTTAATTATTATTAAGTTTCATTTAATTACTATTGTTTAATATTTAATTATTATTAATTTTTATCTAATTATTATTATATTTAATTATAGTCATCATTATTCTTTTTAACATTTCCAAAAGTTCCTAATTTTTTAATTTAAACATTTTACGGATCAATAGTAGTTTTGAACTAATTTTAATTCAAACTCTAAGCCTTCATTTCTTCCTAAGCTTTTTAAAATTTAACTCTATCTTCTTTCTAATTAATTGTATCCTATATTTTTTCATAAAGATTTTTCAAACTTTCTTTTAAGTCCTTCGAAATTTCATCGTCTAAAAAAGATACTTTTAAATGATCAATTTTAATATCTTCATTTTTTATTTCTTTATAGCATTTAATCTATACACGCGGTATCCCAATTTTAGAACTTAATATATTTTCCAATATTTATGCACTCTATATGAAATTTTTCAATGAATTTTCCTCACAAAACTCCTTATTTTCATACAATAAACTATTCCCTAATTAAAAATAAATACTACTTAAATACCTACTATATTCCTTATCTTCTATTTAAAATGCAATATTTAATGCTTCAGTGTATTATTCCACAGAGTCTTTTAATGAATCCCTCCAAGCTTCCAAATCTCCTAGTCTTAATGTAACTTAAACTATTTATCTTAATAATTCTTTTTATTTTTCCTTTTTATCTAAGTTACTGCTTTATTTAACTTCTTCTAAATTTTTATAAATAATTTTCTTACATAACTCAAGATTTTCCCAGGCTAATTATAAATCATCTATTTTTTATTAAACTAGGTTTTGCTCTTTTTATTCTTCTTAATTTCCATTGATTTTTTCTTCCTAAATTTACACTCCGTTATCTTTATATAAAATAGTGTCTATTTATATTATTTTCTCATCTTAATTTATTTAATTTTCATTTTCATTTTAATTTTCATTTTCATTTTTATTTTCATTTTAATTTTCATCTTCTTCTTCTGATTCATCAGATTCTTCTTCTTCTTCTTCTTTTTATTATTCTTCTTTATTTACTTTTTATTAAGCTTCCTCTCCGAAAATATCTGATGTGACAGTCTTATTTTGTTAATAACATATCTCCATAATAATAATAATATTTCGACATTTTATAATGTTATTCGTTTTTGTAATATTTTACAGCGTCAATCATTAAATCAGAAAATATTTCCTCAGCAGATTCGAATTCGTTTTTTCTAATATGTTCTTTTACCTTTTCGATTTATTATTCTAAATATTCTTCGGTTATTTCTGGCTTATTCTCTTTATTTTCATTTTTCTAAGAATCAGTTTATATACAGTCATTGTTTGTAGAATTTTATACATTAATATTTTTAGGAGATTAATTATCATGTTCATCGACTGTTTAAGATTTGGATTTTTCTGTTTTTTCCATTCTTTTTGTTTTTTTTATTTTATAATAAAATAATATATTTTTTGTTATTTTTAAAAGATTCCCGCTTTGATTTTTTATTTTTGACTTTTTATATAAATTATAAATGTATAAAACAAAAAAATATATTAAATAAAAAAAGAAATTCAAAATAAATAATATTAATTATTTAAATATAAATAAAATTAATTTACTTATTATATATTTTAATTAATTTATATAAATATATATATATATATATATATATATATATATATATATATTTTATTTATTTTTTTATATATTATTTTATAAATATATTTTTAAATAATACACATTTTCACTAAAATTAATAGTATTTTTTTATTTATTAAACACTATATTGATTACTTATTCAGACTTTATATTTTATTTTATTTCGAATAATTTATAAAAATTATCATTTTTTCATTTTTATAAAAAATTAAATAATATTTGTAAAACTTTTTAATGGTTTTAATTTTTTATTTATTGTTATTGCTATTTTAATTATTTTTTTTATAATGTTATATAATTTATTTTCTTTAATTATTTTATATTTTTTAATTTTTTATTTGTATATTTTTAAAGAATATGTAATAATAAAAATTTCATAATTTTTAGAAAATATTCTTAAAGATTTGAAAAAAGAAAAAAGAAAAAAAAAATAATTAAAAAATAATAATAAAATAATTAAAAAAAGTAGAGAGATTAAAAGTTCAGTTCAACAAAAATAAAACAAATATAATATCTAATTAAAATAATAAAAAAAAAATTAAAAACAATTATGGAATACTTAAAATAATATAATCCTTCCTAAATATTATGCAAAAGTAAACTAAAATATGCCCAATGAATATTGGAATTATGAAGAATTTGAAAATGAATGGGGGTTTTATTAAAAATATTTAACAAAAATTTTAAAAAATAAAATAAAATTAGCAATATTGATAATTTTGAAGTTATAAGAAAAATAGGTAGGGGTAAATATTCCAAAGTTTTTGATGGTATAAGTACTATTAATGGTAAAAGAATAGTAATAAAAGTATTAAAACCTGTAAAAAAGAGCAAAATAAAAAGAGAAATAAAAATTTTGCAAATATTAAAAGGAAGTCAAAATATTATAGAATTATTAGATGTAGTTAAAGATTCAGCTTCAAAAACTCCAGCTTTAGTAAAAAAAAAAGAAATATAAAAAAAATAAACAAATAATAAATTTTATAAAAAGATATTTGAATTTGTTGAGAATGTAGATTTTAGGTCGATTTTTCCTTAATTATCCGATTATGAAATAAGATATTAAATATACGAATTATTAAAAGCTTTAGACTATTGTCATAGTAAAGGTATAATGCATAGAGATATTAAACCACAAAATATAATTGTGGACCCTAATAATAAGATACTAAAATTAATTGATTGGGGTTTAGCTGAATTTTATCATCCTGAATAAAATTATAATGTTAGAGTAAGAGATATATATATATATATATATATATATATATATATATATATATATATAAATATAAAATATTATTTATATTTATTATATATATATCTACATATATATATATTTATTTAGATTAATAATATAGGTTGTTTCTAGATATTTCAAAGGTCCTGAACATTTAGTTGATTAAAATTATTATGATTATTCTTTAGATATATGGAGTACTTGAGTTATGTTTGCATCTATGGTATTATTTTAGTATTTTATATATTATCTTAATTAATTTATTTAATTTTTTTTTATTTATTGCATTTAATTTCAATTATTTATATTTATTTTAATAATTATTATTATTAGATTTTTAAAATAGAACTATTCTTTTAAGGAACTGATAATTAAGATTAGTTAGTTAAGATTGCAAAAGTATTAGGAATAGAAGATTTATATAAATATATTAAGAAATATGATTTGATATTAGATTCTGTATATAATAAAATATTAGGAAAGTAAAATAGTTAAAATATTAATAAAATATGAATAATTTATTTTTAAAAATAGATATCCGAAAAAGACTTGGAATAAATTCATAAATGAAGAAAACAAAATTCTTTGCAATGAATTAGCTATTGACTTATTATCTAAAATGCTTATTTATGATCATGTTCATATATTTAATTATATTTAATTAATTTTAAATTAAGGCTTAAAGAAAAACACCAAAAGATGCAATGGAGCATTCTTATTTTGATATGGTTAGGGAAAATAATTATTAAAAATGAATTTAAATAAAATAATTAAAATTTAAATAAATATTATATATATATATATATATATATATATATATATATATATAGATTTATATATTATAACTATAAAAAACATTAGTTATATTTTATTAATATTTGTTTATTTCAAATAAAATAATATTTTATATTTTTTTTGATTGTTAAATATATTTTTTTTATATATATACTTTTATTATTTGATTTCTTTAGAAATAATTTTTAATTTTTTCTATCTACAATATTTAACTTTTAAACATAATTTAAAATCATTTATAAGTTTTTAAATTCTTTTTAAATATACATATATAAAAATGTGTATTATTAATAAAATATTTTAATTTATTATACCTTATCTAATTAAGCTCTAATGCACTTTCAAAAAAAAAAATAGATGTAAAATTAAAAAATCCAATTCTTTGAAATTTCATATAAAAAATATGAAAATCTAATTATTAATAATTTTAATTTTTTAGACATTTTATTTTTTTACTATATATATATTTGTAATATTATATAATTTTGAATTGTAAAATTATTTTAATATTTATTTAAATAAAAACGATGTTTTATATTCATTTTATATAGTAAATAAATAAAAAATAAAAATTATGTATTAAAATAAATTAAATATACATTTAAAATCTAAATCATATAAATAATAAGATTTTAGAGTATTGATTTACCTTACGTAATAAAAATAAATTATATTTTTAAAAATACATTAAATATATAGTTATAAAGAAATTTAATTTTATAATAATTTATCTATATTAACAAAAAAATTTAAATAAAATAGGTAATAGTTAAAATATAAAAATAAAATTAATTAAATTTTTTTTTTTAAAAAAAAAAAAAAAAATTAATATTTCATATTTTTCTATTTTGAATATATATAATAATTAATAAAATTTAACTAATAATTTTTTAAACAACATAATATATATATACTTTAATAAAAATAATAATAATAATTTTTTAAATATAAAATAATACATTATAATTAATATAGTAAATAATTTATATTTTTATTGAAAATATATATTTGGTCATTTAAAAAAAAGTTAAAATAAAAAAGAACATTTAAACGTTAAACTAAGATTTTAATTTTAAGAATAATAATAAACTTTTCCGAATTAAAAAAGAAATTAAATATATTAAATATTATTTAAACAATAAATTTATTTTTTGTATTGATTTTATTTATAATTTAAATTTAAATATTTTTTATATATATAACATTATATTAATAAAGTATTTTTATTCTTTCGTATATTAAAACAAAAAAAGTAAATAAGTATTTAAGTTATAAAAAAATAACAATAAAAAAAAATGATTAATAATTATTCTAAACTTCTAATATAAAAGACCTAATTTATAAATACTTTATTAAAAATTTTTATTAAAAAGATGTTTCTGATTTAAACTAAAATGACGTCTAATGGAAAAATCTAATTTAATCTTCTTTATTTTATTTAAATACATAATTCTCTTAGAATTAAAAAAATATAGAAACTAAGCTTAAAGGAAATATGAATTAATTATATGCTTATTATAATTTATAAATACCAACTATTACTATTAATATTGAAAATAATTTGGGTGAAGAATAATATATTTTATATGTAACTTCTTTGATATCAAAGGGAAGTAAATTATAGGACATATTTTAATTGAAAGGAGATAATTTGAAAGGAATTTCTAATAAATAAAACTATATAGAATTTAAAAATTTAAAATTTTATAATTATAAGAAAGAAAAAGTAAAAAATAATATTGATAAAATATTATTTAATATTATCATATTTTTTTTTATTTAATTGTAATAATTACTCTAAATTTTTAACCCTTTTTATTTATTTTTCTTAAAAAATAAAAAAAAAGAATTGTTAATAACATATTTGTGTTTTCCTTTTACATAATAATAAAGAAAATGTACCAGTAATCATATAAGGATGTATTTGTTCAGGAATGATAATAAAATCAAGGAAAAAATCATTTTAAGAGGAAGTAATAAATTATATTAGATATAAATAAATTATATAAATAAATAACTAAATATTTTATATTAAATCCATATTATTATTAATTTATTTTTTTCTTTTAGCTTTTTATCAAAACAAAAATAATTTGTTTTATGATATTTTCTTTATTATTAAATTCTTATTAAAAATAAGGTTTTTTTAATTAATTATTATTAACTTAATTAAATACAACTATATAATTTAGAAAATTTTAATAATTAAAACAAATTTATAATTTAATTTATAATAAACTAAATAGTTTTTTTTTTTATTTTTTACTTTATTGATTATATTTATAAAAAAATATTATATTATTTAATAAATTAATATAGTTAAAAGACTTAAATTATTTTTCTCCTCACTTTTTTAAAACTAATTTATTTTACTAAAATGAAAATAATTAAATCTAAAAAATTAAAAATGACTAAGAAGGATTTATATAATATCTTTTGAAATCAAATATAAGACATAAAGTTTAATTTTTTAAAATAAAAAAATATTAAATAAATTTATAATATTTATTTTTATAAAAAAAATAGTTAATAAATCCTCTTTTTTTAGCTGTAAAATTTAATAAAGTAATAAAAATAAAATTATTAAAAACTTAATTTGAAAAACATATAGACGTAATTAAAAAATAAATATTTTATTAATATTTTATTAATAAAAAATAATAATATTTATAAAAAAATAGAATTTATTATTAATTAAACATTTTTTTAACGTATTAAAATCAAAATAAAATTAAGAAAAATCTATAAAATTAATAATATTAATTGATATTAAAGATTAATAAAAAATAGATTAAGTAAAAAAAAATTATTCAATTTTTTTTTTTAACAAAAAATAGATTAAAAAGCTCCTTTCCGTTTTAACAAGAGGGAATTGTAGTATTCATATTAATTCATAAGACTATCTTTAAGAAAAATATTTTACCTTTTAAATAAATGTAATTTATTATAAATATATATATAATATAAAATTTTAAATCAAAAAAGTAAGAAATTTTTGATAAATATAAAAAAGCTTATGATAGCGAATTTTACAATTATTATAATTAAAATATTTTTCTTTATTCGAAATCTAGAAATTATGTTTATCAAGAAAATCAAAATAAAATATATAATTATTAAGATGATAATAAAGTAGAGAAAATATAAATAGACATAAACAACTTTAATGAACTTCTAAAAAGATAAACAAAAAATTTAAACTTAAAATAAGTTTACGTTAGTTCGTTTAATAGAAATATAATAATAATAATAATAATAATAATAATAATATTAATAATAATAATAATAATACTAACAATAATTTATCAATGGAAAATTCAATAGAACTTATTAAGAAAACTGAATAAAATACATTTTAAACTTTTTAAAATAAGTACAAATATATATTTATTAAAATTTTAAATAAAAATATATTCTTTTTAATATCAAAGCTTTTCATTAAGTCTAAATGAATAAAATCATATTAAAAATTATATAAACCCTTATTAAAATTAGAATTATATCATTCAATTGCCTTTCTTTATTCTCAGTCATCCTTATAATAAGTATTTTTAAAAAAATATTCAACATATTTTATTTTTATAGTATGAATCTTTAAGTTAATAATATAGGATAATTTTCGGTAAATAATAATAACTCTTATTAGGAATATTAAAAATTTAAAACAAATTGTTATAAATAAAATGAATATTATATTAACGAAAAAAATTTGTAATAATTTATGAAGAAATAAATATGAGAATTATTAATGCTTTTTTATTTTATTTAATTATTTTATTTTTAAAATAAATCTAATTTAAAATAAAAAATATTTTTATTATATATAATATATGTATTCTATTAAAAACAAATTCATATGAAAACAATAATATAATAAAAAAAATATTTATAAAAATTAGTTTAAATTAAAATGTTGTTATTATAATTTTGATTATTATAAATTAAAATATAAGTAAATTAAAAAAATAATAATAAATAAATATATATATATATATTTATATATATATATATAAATATATATATATATTTTATTTTTTTATATATTCTTTTTTTTATATTAATATATTATACGCATTTTTTTATTTTTATATAAAAATAACAAACAATATAATATGTAAAATTAATAAAAGATGAACACCATTTTATTATTTTTATTGATTTTACTGAAACTATTATATTTTTTTTATTTTTTTTATTTTTTCTATTGATATTTAAAATAATTATATATTTTATCTAACTTATTGATATATATATATAAAGTTGATGAATTATTAGTTTTTATACAAAGAATAATAATTTTTATTATTATTTATATTATTAAAAATAAAGAATTAAAAAATTAATAAATTTAAAAGTAATTATTTTTTTAATCTTTTGACAAATAAAATTTTTTATAATTAACTAACAAACATATAAATAAGCACTTTGTGCATATACAAAATATTTAAAATTATTAAACAAAAATTATTTATTAATTAAAGTAAACCTTACAAATGAATGAAAATAATACTTTTTTTTTTTATAATTCTAAATTTATTTATAAATATTATTAATTAGTGTTTCGACCTTGTAAAGTATATAAAAATTTTAATTTTATATTGAAAAAAATATATATAAAAAAAAAAAATATTTATATAAATATATATATATATATATATATATTTTTAATTATATTTATATATTTAATATTTTTTTTTTTGTATTTATAATTACTCTAATATTAATAGTTAATTAATCTATATATAATTGATTTAACATTAATATCTGGCAATTTAAAATTTACATTAATTCCTTCTACTCCTTTTTTTTAAAAAAATTTTCTTTATTTAAATAAAATTTATATTAATAATTTTTTTTTTAATCTTTATATATAATATATAAATTTTATTACTTAGTTTAGTTTCTTTATATTACTACATATTACATTAAAATAATTATACTAGTAAAAAAACAGGAAAATATTAATATAGCATTTTGTATAATATATTAAATTGATATATATCATAAAAAACTATAAATAATAGTTACTACATTCAAATATAACGGTCATAGATTATATGAAAACCATTCTTAATATCATAAATTGCATTATATGTTTAATAACCTACTTATTTCATTCAAATATATTTACTCTTTAAAATATAAAAGTTTAAGAAAAAAAACATGTGCAATAAAGATTTTTCCAAAAAATAATTTTTTAAAGTTTAATAATAAAAAAAAGATTACAAACCCCCCTATTTTATATATTCTATTATATTTTCAATTTATCCAATATATAATAGACTTAATAATAATAATTTAACTTAAAACTATTATAATCAAGAAAAAAATAACAACAATAAACAAATATTAATAATATATCTAATTTTGGTTATAAGTTTCGAAAAAATTATAGTTAAATATATTTTGTATATGAATATAATTAATGGAGTATGTTATATTGAAAAAATAAAATGATATATATTTGAAATTTAATAAAATGATTATTTATTGTAATTATTAAAAAAATTTAAAAATATAAAATAATACATAATTTAATATTAAATATAATAAAAACGATAATTATATTACGTGCTTCATTTAAAAAAAAAAATTATCAATAGAAAAAAATATATAAAAAATTAATATATTATTATGAATACAGTATATTTATCTATAGAACGAATATAAATAAATTAAATTCTTATAAAAAATATTTAAATGATAACTTATAGAAAATTTTAGTAAAAAATAATTTATTAAAATATATAAAAAAAATTAAAAATAAACTAATTTTAACTTAAACAATATTAACAAATTAAAGATTGATAAAAAAAAATATAATAAATATAAATAAAATTAATTTTATTATAAATCGAAGACTACATATACATAATTTATTTAACAATAAAAATATTTTAAATATTTATATATAAATAATTAAATTATTATATATTATATTCATTTTTAATTAATTTATATAATTTATTATAAATATTAAAATTGTTTTTTTTGTTTAAATTAATAGAATCATTCAATTATTTATAATTTTTTATTTCATATATAAATATATTTAAGACAAATTTATAAATATTTATAAATAATAAATATAATTATAATAAGGTATAAGGTATATAAAATTCAAATTTATTTTTAATTTAAATATATCTTATAAATATTTATATATATTACTTTCTTGTCCTCTTTTTTAATAAATAATATATGTGAAAGTTAGAATAACTAAAACTCATAATAAAAAAACAATTTAAAAAATTAATGATTATTTTCATTTTTATAAGCGTATTGATAAGGATAAATTAAAATGAAAAACATAAATTAAATAATATTTTATTAAATTCAAAAATATAATTTATTATTACTAATACTATTAATGTAAAAAAAAATCTAATAATAATATATTGGCACATATATATTACAAATAATTATATTTATATATATAAATATATATCTATATATAATAAAAATATTAAAAAAATATATAAATTATTATATATTTTTTAATATATAATATTTTTATATAAATCTAATAATATAAAATTATTTTGAAATATTTTTATTTTTATTACTATAATATATTTAATTTTTAAAATATAAACTATTTAAATTTTTTAATTATGATTTATATAGATTATTCTTTATTATATTTTTTATAATAAATAATATTTAAAAGATTTCTTTTATATTGTAAATAATAATAATTTAATTTTTTTTTATGTTTTAAAAAAAAATATATGTAAATTTATTTATTCTTATTATTTTATTAATTTAATTAAAAATCATTATTTTATTTAAATTAATAATTTATTTTTATCAAAAAAACTTTAATATAGTCTTAAATATTTTATACTATTCTATGTAATTCTACAAGTCTAATTAATATTTTTTATAAATTATTTTTATAAATTTTATTTATGATAAAATAAACATAAACTATAGAATGAAAATATTATAATTAAATTATATTTAATAAAAAAAAATTTAAATTGAAATTCAAAATTAAAAAAAATAATCTCTTTTTTGTATAATTTTCAAATAAAATAATATAATATAATAAATTATGTATAATTTTTTTTTTTTTAATTTATATTTAAAAAATTTAATATAATTTTACAAAATTTATTTTAACAAAATAATTTAATATATTTTTAAATTATATATTTAAAAAATATAAAAATATATATTATTTAAAATAATAATACAAATTTTTATATAAATCCCATTAGTATTTTCATTTTTTTATAAAAGTATATTAAAATAAAATATAAGATATATAAAATTATATTTACCAAAATAAATAAATATTTTAAATTAAAAATATATAGCTTAATAAATAGATAATAATTAATAAAATATGGTTAAAAAACTAATTTTAATTGCAATCTTAATTATAAGTATATTGACTCGTCCTCGTCATCATTGCGGTCATGAAAGTAAATAAGTATAAGATCACTATTAGAAATTGCAGGAAAATTACGAAAAAATCTAAAAATCAAGCAATGAATAACGTATACTTTAAACAGGTGAGGCAAAGCCTATAAGAATAACTGTAGATTATTCCATGATAGATTAAATTAAGTTAGGAATAACCAAATACTAAAAAGACTACTTAATAAAAATTATAGAAACATCCAAAATTTTTTTCGAAAATCTTTTGAAAGTATACCAAATAAAAGGAAACAACATATATTCTTCAGGCTTGCCAAACGACTGTTTAGGAACAAAAATTCCTGAAAAAGATAAAAAAATAGGAATTCCTAATTCCGATTTACACTTATATATCGTTTATAATAAAGAAAATAATAGGATAAATGCAGGCGCAGTATATTGTTCTTTGTCAAGTGGAAAAATTGCTAGACCTAATTTTGGAAGGGTAAATTTTAATATATTAAATATGTTTAAAGAAAAAGAAAATCCGGTTACTTTCCAAGATGATTTAGAAATAACTATTCATGAAATTTTGCATGTAGTAGGTTTTTCATAAAACTTAATGTAATATTGGATAGATCCGGAAACTAATACAATGTTTGGAGATACATATATAAAAAAGTTATAAAAAGTAAAAATATATAGAGGAATAAAAACTGCTCTTTTAGCATCCAAAAATGTAGTTGCAGTTACAAGAAAATATTATAATTGCCCGACAGCTGAAGGTATGTAAATTGAGAATTAAGTAAAATAAAAAAATATATATATAGACAAATAATATATAATATATAATATATATATATATATATATATATATTTTTATATATATTTATATTTATATATAAATTTATACATATTTTAATATTTAATTATTCTAAAATATTTTTTTTTTATTTTAGGGTGGTACAGGAACAATTGGTGCTCATTGGGAAAGAACTGTTCTTTATAATGAAATAATGACTGGAGCTCCATTATCTGTTAATAGAGTTTTTTCTATATTTACAATTGCTGCTTTGAAAGACACAGGTTTCTATCCTGAAATAAATGATAATATGGCAGATTAAATATTTTGGGGAAAAGGAAAAGGTTGTGATTTCTTTGAAAAAGGTTGTTATAGTAATACTAAATTCCCTGAATTTTCTTATGTTTCTGATGGTGAATATTGCTCATTTGAATATGAAGGTGTAGGTGTACCTTAAGTTGACTAATTTGCGGACGGATGTACTATAGTTAAACCTTATTTATATGAACTTTGCACAAATCCTTATAGTTTAAATGACGGAGAAGAAAAAGAATAAGAATTAGATAAATTATCTCATTTTTCAACTGAAAGTAAATGCTTCTAATCATCAGCTACAGATAGCAAATCTTTATATCGTTATAATGCTTAGTTAAGATGTCATTTATTCAAATGTTTCGCAAATGCATCTTAAATAATGATTAAATTTCCCGAGATTAAACATGAAATTATATGTGAAAAGGAGACTAAGGCAAATAAATAATAATTGATAAAACTTTGAAAAAAGCTAAAGGTTAAGTAACATGTCCTTAAGATTACAATAGATTTTGTAATTATACTCCTTTATGTCCGAATTACTGTAATTCAAACGGAGTCTGTGTGAACGGTCAATGTATCTGCAAAACCGGATATGGAGGTATCGATTGTTCTATATAATGCTCCGGAGTAGTTTTTAATTTTAAGTGTTTAGAATAGTCATAATGTCCTTCAGGTTTCTTTTTGAACCCAGATATACTTGTAAATTAGATTGTGCTTTCGGCTATTTCGCATATGATGGAAAATGCAAACCATGTAATATTGATTGCTCTAGATGTACAGGACCATCAGATAAGTAGTGTACTAAGTGTTAGTTTTTGAAATTATTGCAAGAAAATTAGTGTGTGGATAAATGTGATGAGAAATAAGGATATTATCCTAATTATGATTTGGGTATTTGCGAGATTAAACATTTTTAATGTAAAGGAAATTGCGAAACTTGTGAATAATAAAATTCTACTATTTGTTTGTCTTGTAAAAAAGGCTTTTTTAAATAAGATGATAAGTAATGCTCAAGCAAATGTACTTAAGGACTTGTCGGAAACTAAGAAACATAAGAATGTGTAAGACCTTCTGTTGGATGTCTTTAATAAAATGATTCTAGTACATGTAATAAATGTGATACTAGTAAAGGATATAGATTAGGTTCAGATAAAAAATGTATTTTATGTAAGTAAAATTGCTCCTAATGTAATCCTAAAAATGTAGAAGAGTGTTTAGTTTGTGACGGAAATAAATTCAAAATTTACGGTACTAGTTGTGTAGAAAGATGTCCAGATTCTAGTTTTTTATCTAATATTAGTAAAAAATGTGAAAATTGTTCTCAAAAATGTTAATAATGTAATTAATCAGGTTGTATAAAATGCGAAGAAGGCTATTATATTGATACTAAAACAAAAAAGTGTGCTTAGTGTTCTTCTAAATATACTAATTGTTAATCATGTGATAGTCTATCTTGTAAAAAATGTAATAATGGATATTAATTTGATCCTTTAAAAAAATAATGCTAATAAATCTCTGTTAAATCTGGAACTATTGTAAAAACAGGAACTACTGTAAAAACTGGAGTTACTGGAGCTACTAGAACTAATGGAGCTACTGGAGCTACTGAAGCTACTGGAACTACTGGAACTACTGGAACTACTGGAACTACTGGAACTACTGGAACTACTGGAACTACTGGAACTACTGGAACTACTGGAACTACTGGAACTACTGGAACAACTGGAAATACTTTAAAAAATGTAAATAAAGGAAACACTAATAGTGGAGTTACAGGAAACAAAGGAAATAATGGAATATCAGGAAATAAAGGAATATAATGCTCAACAGGATGTAAACAATGCAAATAACCTGGAATATGCTTATCATGTAACTAAGGTTTATTTTTGATAATAGCACGAAATAATGCGTAACTTGCTTAAAAAATACACTAATTGTAAAGAATGTACGGAAACTAAATGCACAGAATGTAATTCTGGATATACATATAATGAGTAATAAAATAATGCAAAGTACTACTGAGGTCTAGATTATTAAATTAGTTTTAAGGCGAGATTTAAAAATATAATAGTTATTAAGGAGTCATTGGTTTTGCTATTGTATATGTTTTATTTGGATTATTATTGTGACAATTTTTTTATTAAAATAAATTATTTTTATTTTTTATATATAAGATGGCATTTTTTTTGTTATATTAGTGTTTAATAAATTATATTGTTTTTTTAATTTTTATATTTTTTGTTGTATATTTTACTAATATAAATTGATTTTCAATATTATAAAATTAAGTTATTAAAAAGTAGAATTTTATAATAATATATAATTTATATATTTTAGAAAATAAATATAAAAAAAAACCTTAAAAATATGATTTTTGGTATTTTTTTTAAAAGGAAATTTCGAATTGTATATATTTATTATTCATTTTATAAAAATACATATTTTTTATAAATAAAAATAAATATTTAATTAATACAAAATTACTAATAATTACTCATATTATATCAAGGCTTTTTAATTTATTTCTAAATAAATATAATGAATTTTATAATTTTTTCATTTATTTTATAAAATTTGTTATTTATTAAATTAGAAAAGAAAATAGTATTTTATTATGTTTGTAAATATATATATTAAAAAGATATATATAAAAATTGAATAAATATTTTAATATTTATTAAAACATTTTGATAATTTTGACTTCATTTTATAAATTTTGTTTAAATCTCTTTCTTAAACTTTTTAAATTAAATTTATATGGTCTTAAATATTTTGAATTTCATTTAAAAGATTAACTAATTTTTTAATTATTCAATATTATATGTTAATATTTTAATTATTATATATAGAATTATTATAATTTTTATTTATAAAAAAATATTTATTAATTGTTAATCTATTATATTATCTAGAATAAAAAATTCTATTTGTTTTTAAGAAGAAGGTAATATATTTTTCAAAATTATAAAATAATTTTTATTATTAAATTATTTTGTTTACTAAGAAAATAATATTTAGATTTATATTAAAATAAATAAAAATTAATAAAATATAAAAATTAAATTACATTAAATAATATAAAAAAACATAACATAAAAATATAATATTTTCGTAATCCTAAAATTAATTTTATAATGTTTTTCCTATCCAAACAATGAAAAAAACAGTATT